CAGATTTGCAGCGGGAAGGCCTGATCTGTAAGATGATAGGCAGGGGTGGGGGTAGGTTTTCTTTTTCTGGCAGGTGTCATAATTATGTATCTTTGAGCTATAGCTGTTATATCTCATAATAACTCCACCTGTATCGTATATACAGTTCTTTGATCCACTCATATGTGCATGTTGCCATGACCAACCACAACTAAGTTGAATGATAGTTTAGCTGTGACTAGTTTTTCTAAAAAGTTGTTTGAATGAAAGTTAGAGATCTAGAGAAGGTTATAAAATACTTTTTTTTCCTCTGTCTCACTTTCCATTTTTTTTCTTGAAGATCCCATTCTTTTCTGTTCAGATTCCCAGAACAACAGTGGCAGTCACATCCTAATGCCCACAACCCACAATGATCCTGATGCCCACAACCAAACAGACATGATAACACGCCTGCAATATGGGCTTAAAGTGAGCCTGTGTTTAGGCTGTGAAGTATTTATTATTAACAAGCCTAAAATTTGCTTTTTTTTTTTTAAATGCCTCTCTGACCTTTGTAGATGCAAGTACTGTGGAGTAATTAATCCTCAAAGATCACAATATAATCTCTAAAGTTAAGCTGCACTTTCGTACCTTTTAGTCCTTTATGAACTTTGAGAATTTATTGCTCCACAGATAATTTACTGCTTGTTAGGAATATGGAAATATTTGACTGCCCATACCCTGGCCACAGGTTTATGTTAAACAAGATCAGCAGTACAAGGGGATTTATCCATTTAGGGTGGATTGGGGCAGTGTTTACCTAACCTCAGACCTGACACAGCAATGACAGTAAGCAGAAACTGAGCTGAGTGAGTTCTCCTAATATTCCTATGCAGAATACACTATGGGGGGAATTTATCAAAACTGGAACAGACAGAATCTGGAGCAGTTGCACATAGCAACCAATCAGCTTCTTTTTCAGTGTATTCACTTAAGATTTGAAAATGAAAGATAGAAGCTGATTTGTTGCCATGCACATCGGTTCGAGATTTTATCTGCTCCAGTTTTGATAAATCCCCCTCATATGTTTTGGAGTGCAGAAAGTCTACACCATGGAACGAATAGTAGATACTACCCTTGAATACATGTAAAAATAAAAAGTGGGTAAAGCAAGCTTTAGGCAAAGCTTATGCTCTCTCAAGGATGTAAGAAGCATCAGTAAAGACAAACTCCAGCAGCTTACATAAAAGACAAAACAAAAAAGCCATAATGAGCAATACAAGATATAGAGGAAATTTTGAAAAAAAGCTTTGAATGTGAAAAAATAATGAAAGAAAATATCACCAATACAGAATAATGGGAAGCAAGCCTAGGATAGGCTAAAGTCATAAAACAGCTGTAATAAAATGGAGTAAGTAGGGTTTTTCCATGAGGGAAATGGTAGTCAAGTTCCATACACAGTAGATTCTAACATATAGCATATAGTGTTTCCCATGAAAACACTAAAATCTTTAATCTGTACTGATTCAGCTCATTTGCAGGTATTGCTATAGTCGCGAACGTGCGCAATCCACCTTAAAAACACGCTTGTGCTATTTTGCAGGGCGCAAGGTTTTGTACTGTGCGGCCGCCGCAAAAGTCTGAACAATGCACATTAAAGTGCATTGTTTTTTATGTTTAGACTGGTTCCGCGTGTATTTGTACGACCGAATACGTGCGGACAACCGCTCCTATGAAAAAAGGAGCCTAAGCCTAATTTGCTGGGGAAACAAACCCTTAACCCATGACAGAAAAGTCTGTGGGGTTGCTATTCAATGTCACACTCCAAAAATATAATAAATGGCTTGTTTCTAAAAAAAAGTGTCTTCCTTTCCATATTGTTTCTGACAAATGTATCTTCCATTCCAAAACCTATTTCTTTGCAACATTATATAGTGACAGGCCCACTTAAGTTGCAATCTATTGCCTGTATTCAGTATATTTTACCTATGTATAGATGACCAATAAATCTCAAATAGAGTTCTTCTCTCATGGGGCATCATGATTGAGGTAAAAGCTACTCTATTCAGTGATCTGAGGCTTTGCTTTAACTCTCCAGTGCTACAGTGCTAGCTCCCATGCTGGACACTTGGCATGGGCACATAGGCAATTAGAGACTTACTGACACTGTGTGAGCCTCTAGTAAGCTAGTGTTGAAATGCACAATTTCAAATCTGCAAACAAAACTAAAATACTTTCACGCTAAAACCTTTAATGTTGCCAGCGGTTTACAGGGGAGATAAATATATTTCCGGTAAAGGTCACTGTAGAATCTGTTGGAAAACAAAAACGCTCCAGCATAAATAGGAAAATAAATGTAATGTTTATTTATATACCAATGAGAATCTCTGTACTGTGTCCAAATATTTCTAAGCAAAACAAATATGATGCTGAATTAAATATGTGTGAGCCTATATGCCAGGGACTATAAAACCCAAGCAGTCTACGAAAAATAATAAAAGATTTCTCAGTAACTTTACTTAGAAAGGGGTCTGTCCAATGATCTACAGGGTACCGCTTATTCAGTTCCTGGGTGCGTTCGCTGGTAGATCGTATACATAAAGCATATATAAACCCAAAAACAAAAATGTAACACACAGAAGTTTACCAGTTCCTAGATGAGATACCTGCATTAGTTTAATTTTTTCCCTTTATTTTTCCCTGGAGATCCTGCCAGTAACACACTTTCTGTCTTAGGGTGACAACGCTCACTCAATATACTGCATCTAAGGAGGAGCAGCATTGTCACTCTAGTCTGCCATCAAAATCTGAACAATATTATTTTACCACTGGATAAAGAGGAGATATTGGGGTCGATTCACGAAGCAGCCGAAGGATCTAGCCGCAGCTTCGGCTGATCTTTTGGCTAGCTTCGGCCCCAGGACCCCTTTGGTTCAGTAGAACCGAAGGGCTGCTGTACGGGCTATTCACTTCTGACATCTGTGTGGAGCCAGCCGTGATGTTACAATGGGTACAACATTTCTCAGCTGCATGTTATGAAACACAGCTATTACTCTTAGGGCTTGTTCACACCAAGTGCGGAGCAGATGGAGAGTGCAGAGAGTTACAGAACGCATAAAAAATGCATTGAATGTATTCCAATGGTATTTTGGGCTCTAGTTCACACCACAGGGTTCAGTTCCAGAGCATGTGGAAAAACTGCAGCATGCCCTATTTTGTTATGCTCTGGAACGCACCAAAATGCATGCAAACACATCAAAAACACATGCAAATGCCCTGAAAGCCCATTTTAGGCTAAAAAAAAAACCAAACGTTTTTTCAACAACGGACCGGAACGTGGGAAAAACAAAAACGCGGCAAAACACACTGCACTGCATGTGCAGAAACTCATGCAAATCTGGTCCGGATTTGGTGTGAACAAGCCCTTATATGTTAACATTTTCAAAAAGGTAGGTTCCCTTTAAACCATAAAGTTGCTTTTCTGCTTAGCTCTAGTCGTTAGTTTAAAGACAAGACAGAACTTAATATAGACAAAACACAATGGAGCATCAGAGCCCTTACAGAACTTTATAGGTCCACCAGAAACTGATGTCTGCAATAACAACTCTAGCACAATATTCCTGGCCTGAACTTGGGAGCTGTAATCTCTGCTCCAACAATCGTTTGTGTGAAATGAACAATTACTACACAATAACAACACATGCAAGCTGGTCATGCAACAAAATCACTCATGTGAAACAAGAGGAAATATAATGTGAAAACAGTCTGCAGCTACCTAATGGGAAAAGGTCATTAAAAATTCATTGAACTCCATCCATGTTTAAACATAACCTTCAAAGAAGCACTGTTATGAAATGGTTCACATAATGCATCACAGATACTTTATTTGTATGCCACATAGCTGTGGTGAAAAAAAATCATACAAGAAAAAAAATATGTCCATTTAAAGATGTTCGAGCAGTGCAAACAAATAAGGCACAAATAAATACCAAACCAAACTGACACATTTTTTTAAATTAAACTATGCTATGTGATAATAAAATGAAAACCCAGTCAAGTATATTACAAAAATCTCAAAGATCCTAACAAAGCAGAAATCAGGGTAGGAGTGGGATTGATACCACCTTCTTTAAAAAATATATACTTATACAAAATTAGCATCACTTAAGCACAAATAAAATATTGTTTTTTTTTGTTTTTTTTAATAAAAGGTCCAGGGGCATCCTTAATATGGACAAACATTTTCTTGAATCTCCCGCTCCTACCCACCACACCCCACCCTCTACCACGCAACGTCCATCTCCTGCAGAACAGAAAGGAGGAGACATCAGAGGGAGACATGACCCCATGTGAGATGTCACACGGCGTACAGCAGGTGCGAAGCAACACTATGCCATGCCACATGTGTATCTTTTGTGGGCTCAAGGGGAAGCTGCCTTGGGCCCCACAACAATGACTGGGCCTGGGGAAACTTCCCCTTTTGCCCCGTGTTAAAGACGGCCCTGAAAAGGTCCTCTTTGAAGCAGAACTGCTTAAACATTTTGCACACACAAAAAAATTGCTTGTAATGTCATTGGATTGCTAAAAATTCAGTGAATCCGGTTAAATCCCAATTGAATCTAATGCAATCAGCCTGCACACAGTAATAAATATGCATGTGCTTTTGTTACTTTCTACTTAGTTTGCACTGCAGCATGCTGGAGAGTCAGACCACTGCTCCACACAAAATACACTGACTCTCCAGCAGTCCAACACTCCCCCTGCGATCTGCAGCACTGTTGCGGGCATGATGGACTGCATTACAGTAAGCAATTACAGTGAGGCTCGGTTGGGCTTTACACTGAAAACAATCTTAGCATACAAAAAAAGATCAAAATAAGACTTAATTTACTTTTTAGTGATTTAGGTCAAATATATTAGGTTGGAGAATATACTGCTTTCAATTGTATCTACTCTTTTTTAATAAAGTCAACATTTGCAATGACAACCACTGTAATATAAAAAAAAAACTGTTTGCTGACACAAGAAATATATATTCTTACCAGTATCATGTGACCGGTGGAAATGTCCATATTTGACTGGACAGGCTCCTCACTCCAGGAGGATGTACTACTCCTTGCGGTGGGGCTGGCCATTGGTCCATCACTGAACTGCGATGAGATGCTATTAATACGGGAACTGTGCAGAGGTTCTGGCCGATCTGAAGTCTTGACAGACATCCGCTGACGGCAAAGCTCCTGAAAAGAAGTGGAAAGACATACTATATGAATTATTTTTGACCCCAAGGGAGCAGTTTTTGTCAGCTCATGCCAACAACCTGTACATTTCTGGTGTTATTGCAGGGAAAAATCTGCCAGTGTTTTACAGTCAGCATGCATGAATAACATTATGTAACATCCCACTGTAACATCACACATTGCCAGTCTACTTGGTTTAAAGTGAGAGCCCAGCCAAAACCTTTGCTTATTAATTTCCCGTAAAGCCTGTATGGGTTACTATCTTTGTTGGGTTTTTATCGCTTTCTGTGTCCTCATTGAGAAGATTTTCCCCACCCTTCCTGCCCAAGAGACACAGCGCAAAGTCTGACAAAATCTCCCCAAAATGTGGAAAAATACCACCTCTGAAAGGTGTCCCTGGAAAAGCTATCAATGTTCTATTCAGGTGACAACTGATACATTTTTACATGTCCTTTAATTTTCTGGCCTGGTGACATTAACCCCTTCATGACCGCATAACACACTACACACACACACACATTATATATATATATATATACGTATGTATATGCATGCATGTGTTTTGTGCTATGAGCATGCTAGATTGCACACCTCCAGCACTGGGACTGAGCTGTCAATGACAGCCCCTGGTCCCAGACTAATAATTGGTACTTTGGAGGGCTAGCCCTGGATCACCTGATTGCTGTGATAGTCTGTGATTGACATTTACAGTGATCAGTAGTAGTAGTAGTAGAACCCTCCCCATCTCCTCTGTAAGGGCCTGATCTAGATAAGGGTCAGTGTTAGTGTCAGTGTGTTTTAGGTAGGATTAAAAAAAAGCAAAATATGCAATTGTTTCTGGGCCCTACTGTGGCTACAAATAACATATAACGCACACTTATGTTTCATACTGAGTGCATAATCATGGATATTTTCATGTAGCATGGCCATACACAACACTGATACCAAGATTACCAAAAACATATTAAATTTTTGATAGTATGGTTTTTTTTAAGCAAGCAGGACCCACCCATATGTGAAATTGCAAAAACAAATGACTGACGAACAAGATGGATTAATTTTTTTAATAATGTTGACTTTTCTAGCTAGAAATGCTCAACAGCATCTCCTTGGTATTCCCTGCATAGCCAATGTCTCACCTTCGTGTTAGGGAAACATGTAAAAGGTAACTTTAATGATTTAGAAAAATGTTGTTAAAAAAATTATTGTCATTTTAACTTATAGCTATTATTTTCTATCTACGCATACATTTTCTGCTTTACAAATAAAACAAAATGACTTAGGATTTCTAAATCACTATGGATTAGCAAAAGTGGTAGGGCTGTAGAATCTACCTAACTTCCCCTGTTTGAGCCCTCTGCATCCTTTTGACTTATTCCCATTGATTAAGTTCAGTCTTAGCTACTGAGATCTGTAAACAAGCTTTTTGCAACTTGCTAAACAGAAACTAGGAAACAGGTGAAAGAAGCAGAAAGCCACACCTTCTGGCTGAATAGAAGATTACATAATATTTATGGGTAATACATCATATTTACCCAACGTAAGAATGTAAATACATTTATAAAAAAATCCTTAGTTTTCATTCTGACCCTAATTAACAAAGAAACAAAATATGCACAAAACCACTACACATTCTTATTACAGCCCATTCACATTATCGATGTGCATTGTGTTAAGGTCACCCATGCACCATTTCTGACAATGGCCTGCACTACAACACATATCCATTGGTTGAGGTGCCTTTCAGGGTGAAGGGCACTGCATTGCACCAGAGTATGTAATGTGCAAATCAATAATGTGAATGGGCCCTAAATGTAAAGCTAATTCAATAACTGCTTTACACAACCTCATCTAGTTTTTATGTTTGCATAATCGACCCACGAGCACGGCCACACATACTGGGATATTTGGGATAGCTAGTGAGTATGGGTGATAGCAATCATGCAGTTTTTTCTTCTGAGTTATAGACAGGAGCCAGTAAATGCATACACCATCACCACTTGAAGTTTCACTGACAGCAAAGAGATAAGAGTTACTAAGATGGGAGGTACAAGCCAAAGAATAATGTTATTGCCAAGATATCAAAGTCTTCTTTTTGAAATGATTTTGTTCATACAAGCAGGATTTGTTTTATGTGTGAGATCGCCTTCAAATACAACACAAGACCATTCCACAGAAAATACTCTTGACATAAATTTCTTAGACAAGCAAGGTTATTGTCAGATCATTTTAGTGTACAGCATGCGCAGGAAAGTGACAGTAAAACATGGTAGATTTAAGATGCACATCAAGGCCACGTCAGCGCCCTCTCCTAAATCCTTCCCTTGCCTTAGATGAACTCTGAGTGTCACTGACTACTGCATAAACCAACCTCGAGCAATCCTGATCACAGATGCCAACACACTCTACTATTGGCACCCCAGGGAGGAATTATGTGGAAAAAGATACAGGACATTAAAAAATATCCCACAGTTTACACATTGTGGTAGCATTGTGGCCTTGGCTAGTTTGCCACCAGTAATCCTTTCACGTGGGTTCGTTTAGATAGTAATTCTGTCAGTATGTCTGTAGGAGTGGGTTAGACTACAAGTGGCAGTGAGGAGGAACTTATGTGAATTGTTCAATAAGTGCTAAGGACTACAAAACTGAATACAATAAAAAATAACAAACTCCAGCTTTTTCAAAAAAAGTGATGCCATTTGTTTTACAAAAGCCAAGCAACTAGCATTTTACTAAGTCATTAGTGGAAGTGTACATACCTGCCACAGCATAGATTTCCTATAAGAAGGGTTCTATTTATTTTAAATGAAATCCCTAAATACTGCCAACTAAAACTTTCCTCTGCTTCCCTTTCAATGAAATAGGAGACAATTTACATTTCAGTGCCTGACACCTTGTGATGCTTTTGGACTGATTTACTATGAACATAAGCTTGTATCTAGGACCACCAATCCATGAGGATGAAGCAAGGATGCCTTTCCAAGATTTACATGTGTGTACTGAATGCAAGTGTATTGCTGGCTGATAGCCATGCATTTGCAAATTCACTTTGCAAAGTCAAGCATACGTCCACATGCTTGGAAAATCCTTTTTCCAATTAAATCTTCTCACCTCACAGGAAGCGGAGAGATTCAGTAGTGAATACAATTATTTGCCAAAGTTTTTGTGTGATTAGATGGTTGGATTATTTTACCAATTAATCAATTTTTTATGAATAGAAGTATAATTATATTAAATAAAAATTCTAATACGGGTATCCCAAATTCAACTAATGATGCTCTAATCATGCAATACACGTTTATACAATTTTCTTTTTCTGAAATGGAGGGAAAAAATAAATATATATTTAACAAAGACCTCATTAATATTCATGTGACACAATATGCCCTTAAACATGACCACAACAACCTGTGGCCAGATAACTAGAGCGTATTTCTAATACTGCATCTATTTCATAGTAATTGGGGTTGATTTATAAAAAAAAAAAAGAAAAGAATGTTCACTTAGAAGATAAAGATACAGTATGTTTATTTGGAATACCTAATCATATGCAAAAGAAAACCAGTATTTTCTGTTTTGATTGGATGATTGAAGTGAACACCGATTCACAGACAAGTAAACATTCACATTGCAAAGTGAAAATTGTCTACTCAGGAAATCAACTCCAATGTATAAGCATTCACTCAGTCCTGCTGGGCAAAAAGCATGTGTGCAGGTATTTGCCATTGCAACCATGTAGCTTCTTAAAGTAGAATTGCAGCCCAAACTTTTTCTTTCAGGTTTGAGCAAGGAGAGAGCAGGAAAGGGTTGGATCATCGGACTGGTTTCTATTGTCTCCATCTAACATTGTGGAGACTTTCCTTCACTTCCTATCATTTTTCTTGAATTGGAAGTGGGAAGAAGCTTCCCCTGAAGGGAAATTCCACCTTTTGACAGTTGTAATTGACACAGGTGTCCCTGTTGGAAGCTACCCCCCCTACTTTTATGTTGGTGACAACCATAAATTATTGGATATTTGCTCACTTTCTGTTCTGGTGAGCCTTAATGGTCATAATAGATCTCCCTAGATGTGACACAAACCACAATAAAAACATATAGAGAACAAATACAGGATAAACAGACATCCACTTTTTAACACCAAGAAAAAACGCTTTGGCTGAAGTTCTACTTTAATGGTAACCCCTGACTGCAGTGTACTTCTAGTAACCCAGATGAAAAAGCTGTACATCTTGGGAGAGTGTGTTCTGCCGTTTCCGCAAAAAGAAGGTAGTTCTTATACTGTATATACTGTATCACATCAATCAAATGATCAGGGTCAGTAACTTGACAAGTTACCAAAGTCCATTGGTAGCAGGATAATTGTAACAATAATAGCTATAAACTACACAAGATATGTGATCTGCTCAGGTAAATACATCTTTACAGAAAGTTTGTTTCCTGTGCCAATTGCTCAAAATGGAAAACTATATTTGGCCAAGATTGAAAAAGTCCTGTTAAATGTAAGATATGTGAAATTATATATCCCAATGTCTTAGAAGACCCATCTACTAATGCAAAGTTTTAATATGCTACATTTATAAAGCATTGAAATGGCATTACTTTAGAGACACCGTTGCTTTAAAAAACAAGGTGTACAAGTGGGTGACTTTGCAAATGTGCACTGCTTTAGCTTCGGAGGTCTGAAGCAAGTGAAGTGCCATACACATCTTTTTTTTTTAATATCTAAGAGTAGTAGAGCTCATTCAGGTGAACTGTCAAGTCATCTGACCAGCCTCTCCTCAAATCTCGGAATTTCTCTGCAGTGGGGGCCAGGACATCCCCCTTCATCAGGGCTTGAAGTATTACAGGATTTTATTGGACTTAGAAAAGCTCTTGAGAAGACTAATCAGACTAATCAAATTTGTTTATAAAAGAGTTCATTGGTATATATGTAATTATCAACAGCACGGTGATGAGGAATTCATCACTCAGTCTATTAAAATCCTGTAAAAAAAGTCCTG